CGTTGTCTCAACTCGCCCTGTTCCGAAGAGAGCTGGTCCCAGGAGGAAGGCCCCCGGAGGGACCAGGGGCCCATTTCCGCCACAGGTCCCGTTTCCCTGAATCTGCCAATTTGCCGTCGTCCTCAGCTCGTCGCCGTCGTCGCCCTCCTCCTCCTCCTCCTCCTGCTCCTCCTCCTCCTGCTCCTGCTCCTGCTCGTCCTCTTCTTCCTCCACCTCGGGCTGGTGGCATCAGGATCCTTAATTACTGGATGCAGCCATCCCCCCCCCCAGCGGCGGTTTCCTCTGGGGGGGATCAAACTGCAGCTGCATCTGCAAAGAGATACCGCGAGGGGCACGAGGACCCCCCCAGGCGCCGGCGCAGCCAAATCCCCCAACGGCCCCATGGGTGGGGGGAGGAAAATTAAGTCGGGCCTGTCCCTCTACAACGGTCAACAAATAGTCTGGGGGCGATTCTTCGATTATTGTTGACAATTTTTGGAGCATGTTTTGCCTATTTTACCTGACAGCGAAGACTGATAGGTTTCTAGTATAGGGTCAAAAGAGAGCATCATGACGCCCCAGGGGGGTCTGGGCGCGATCCGGGGGAGGATGCCGGGGACTTTTTTTAGCCAACAGTTACACACTTCGTGGTCTTCGAGGTCACAGAACTCCATTCCCGGGCCACATTCTGAATGCCCAGAGCCAATTGTAGGCCACTTCGTGCTCTTCGAGTTCCCAGAACTCCATTCCCAGGCCACATTTTGAATGCCCGGAGCCAACTGTAGGCCACTTCGTGCTCTTCGAGTTCCCAGAACTCCATTCCCGGGCCACATTTTGAATGCTGAGGCAGGCTGATGCTGAGGCTGAGGCAGGCTGAGGCTGAGGCAGGCTGAGGCTGAGGCCGAGGCTGAAGGCAGAGGCTGAGGCTGAAGCAGGCTGAGGCTGAGGTTGAGGCAGGCTGAGGCTGAGGCTGAGGCAGGCTGAGGCTGAGGCTGAGGCTGAGGCTGAGGCTGAGGCTGATGCAGGCTGAGGCTGAGGCAGGCTGAGGCTGAGGCCTGAGGCTGAAGGCAGGCTGATGAGGCTGAGGCAGGCTGAGGCTGAGGGCTGAGGCTGAGGCTGCAGGCTGAGGCAGGCTGAGGCTGAGGCCGAGGCTGAAGGCAGACTGAGGCTGAGGCTGAAGCAGGCTGAGGCTGAGGCTGAGGCAGGCTGAGGCTGAGGCTGAGGCTGAGGCAGGCTGAGGCTGAGGCTGAGGCTGAGGCTGATGCAGGCTGAGGCTGAGGCAGGCTGAGGCTGAGGCCGAGGCTGAAGGCAGACTGAGGCTGAGGCTGAAGCAGGCTGAGGCTGAGGCTGAGGCAGGCTGAGGCTGAGGCTGAGGCTGAGGCAGGCTGATGCTGAGGCAGGCTGAGGCTGAGGCTGAGGCTGATGCAGGCTGAGGCTGAGGCAGGCTGAGGCTGAGGCGAGGCTGAAGGCAGACTGAGGCTGAGGCTGAAGCAGGCTGAGGCTGAGGCTGAGGCAGGCTGAGGCTGAGGCTGAGGCAGGCTGATGCTGAGGCAGGCTGAGGCTGAGGCTGAGGCTGATGCAGGCTGAGGCTGAGGCAGGCTGAGGCTGAGGCCGAGGCTGAAGGCAGACTGAGGCTGAGGCTGAAGCAGGCTGAGGCTGAGGCTGAGGCAGGCTGAGGCTGAGGCTGCAGGCTGATGCTGAGGCAGGCTGAGGCTGAGGCTGAGGCTGATGCAGGCTGAGGCTGAGGCTGAGGCAGGCTGAGGCTGAGGCTGGCCTGAGGCTGAGGCTGCAGGCTGAGGCTGAGGCTGAGGCTGAGGCAGGCTGAGGCTGAGGCTGAGGCAGGCTGAGGCTGAGGCTGAGGCTGAGGCTGAGGCTGAGGCTGATGCAGGCTGAGGCTGAGGCTGAGGCTGAGGCAGGCCTGAGGCTGAGGCAGGCTGAGGCTGAGGCTGAGGCTGAAGCATGCTGAGGCTGAGGCAGAGGCAGGCTGAGGCTGAGGCTGAGGCAGGCTGATGCTGAGGCAGGCTGAGGCTGAGGCTGAGGCTGATGCAGGGTGAGGCTGAGGCAGGCTGAGGCTGAGGCCGAGGCTGAAGGCAGACTGATGTTGAGGCTGAAGCAGGCTGAGGTTGAGGCTGAGGCAGGCTGAGGCTGAGGCAGGCTGAGGCTGAGGCTGAGGCAGGCTGAGGCTGAGGCTGTGACTGCGACTGTCGTTGCCACTGCGACTGCCATCGCGAATGCGACTACGACTGCGAGAACAGCAGAATTCTACAACAGGATTCTCATCTGAATCTTAAGGGGAATGCTTCCAGATATGCTCCTACACATCGCTGTTAGGTTGTTTTGCCGGGATACTTTGAGTTTTTCGTCCACAATCCGCTTGCAGAGGACATGCCCGACCTAAGAAGAGGACGACGAAACAGCGAGGACGACCTTGCGATTAATCTGAGACAAACCGAAGGAGGCAGGGAGAGGCCGAGTTGTGGCTGCCAGCGGCGGTGCTCTCGCTGAGGTAGCCTGGCCTCTGGGGGGCCCTGTAGGGCCATCTTGGAGGTCAAGGGGGGGCCCTTATCTACAGGTACCCCTTCAAAACCATCAAAACCGTCTCTAGGGGCGTTCTTGAGGCGTTCTGGGCGCTCTTGGGGCCGTCAGGGGGGCCTCGTGGGGCCATGTTGAGGCTTCAGCAGCCCACCAGACACTAAAAGGCAAGAAGGTGACATGTATTTCTTTGAAGGATGATTGACTCCATGGGCGGCTCCGAGAGCACTTGGAGCCGTCTTGTGGCCATCCTGGGGCTTCTTGATTCTGAAAGTAGCTCAGAGGATTGGGATATTGAGATAGCGAGCGTGGCAAGCGTCCCAGTGGTGCTTGGATCAAACACCAGTGTTCTATATGCTCGGACTGTGGATCAGTTCACTATTGCATTGGAAACAGGATCTATCATCCTCTGAATAATGCACCCTTTTACCTTTTACATTACACCTACCGTCCCATGGTCCGATCGTTTCGTTTTACTTGGTCGCGGAGCTGGCCTCCCTAAGATGCGATCAGCTTTGTCGATCGCAGTCTTACTCCACGGCACGGCTTGGTATGCCGGCACTCCCACTGACGTCAGAGCGTGACTATTGGCTAGCAGGCGGGGGCGCCAATAGCAGTAACGTTATCCCCCCTAAATCTAACGCCCGCCTGACTACACCTAAGAGCGTATGCGCCGCGGCTCTACGTCAGTACGCTCCGACGTATAGTGAGCTAGGGTCCGACGTATAGTGAGCTAGGGAACAAGCTAACTCCATTTGCGCAGGAGCGCAGCACCCATACTCCTAAATCAGCACGGGGACATGCCTCCACAGCCAATCCAAAGTCTTACGGCGACGGATATACCGAAGGTAACATTCGACACCAGAACTGACCCAACATGGACGCAATGCCCGAAGAAGGTTACGTTGAGTATCATTTGACTACGCATTGGCTGCGCTATTGATTACATGCAACGCGGTAACCACAACGACGGAGGCGATCACACCACGCGGGGACCGCACTGGGAACCCGCTGGACCCGCATCCTCTCTCGAGTTCACTTGTGAAGTTCACGCGTGGCTTAACGTCATAAGCGCCCGCATGACTCCACAACGACAGGCCGCGCTGCGTGCCTGCAACTTGGTCTGGGTGATGTAGCACGCACCGTGGCAACGCGCATCCCACCACGGAGCATTGATTACGGCGTGACAATACACAGGGTCCACATTGACCCCATCACGTATATCATGTTTTTCCTGAGCGCCAAACTTGGGAACCTACGGGATGAGCGCCAGCTCACCTCAAGAACTGCGCTCATCGATTTCAGGCCCGAACCAGGCGAAATAACTGATTCGATCTTTGCCAGGTTCGAGATGGCACGACTTGAAGCCGCTTTGAAGCCGATTTCGTAGGTTCTGCTATCCCGAACTTCAGCTATTTACCACAATGCTCTTTAGAGCAGTTAGGTTCGTCCCTGGCAGAGCCGCCCAAGTACCTCGACCACTAAATGGCCAAACGCCACGCACCCAGCAACAATGCGACGAACTGCTGGGCCGCATGCGCAGCTACGGCCACCTAGCCGAGCGCGCACCCGGCAGCATTGGCAATGCGTTGCTCGGGACCACAGGGCGCGGAAACGCGAGCGCCTACGTAATTGCCGCGCCCGTCAACGCGCGGGCCGATGACTCGCGGCCCAGACGAGGCCACGGCGCCACCAGCTACTACCCCTCAGGGCCAGGGAACTGGCAGAGGCCATCCATCATCATCATCATCATCATCATCATCATCATCATCATCATCATCATCATCATCATCATCATCATCATCATCATCATCATCATCATCATCATTTCACCAAAGCTAGGGGCAGCCTTCTCACCCTACCTCCTGCGCTGCACCTGATACTTAAACCGCCCTGCGGGGCCCCGCTTCTAACGGAGACTCGCCCTTCGATTCTGGGGCCGACGCCGACGCGATGCCATCGGGCGGAGTCGGGCCCGCAGACATGTCGGACCTACCCCGCGGATTAGGAGACGCGGAGACCGCCGGGCATTTATTTCTGGGGCACCAGCACGCGAAGCGTCGACGGAGGAGATTTACCAAGAAACCCACGCGAAGGATCCGGAGGGCATTTCACCGACGGGGCGAGGGGCGCGGCAGGGGTGGACACCGCAATCAACGTTTGCACGGCACAAGGTTGCGCGACTTTTTTCGCGACCTTGACGGATGCCGAATATGAGGAAATCCCCCAAGGGAAGGGTCGGGGCCGACGCCGCGCGACCGGCGAGGGAAGGGGCCGAAAACTCAACCCCGTGGACCGCGCTGGCAAGAATGCCGCGCAATCGTCGCGGGGGCGACAATCATTTCAGAACCAGGTCGTGAAAGGCAAGGGAAAGAGGGACGCCGCTGCCCTTGCGGCGGCTCAAGGAAACGTCGAGGACGCGGAGTGCGTCGACTGGCCGGCGCTCGACCCCCTCCCCGGCCGGGGCGCGTCTCGCCCTCTTTTGCAAGGCGCAAGGCCATGGGCCATGCCTTGGCGGCCCTCTTCCTCGACCTCCCGAACGGCGACATCGAGGACAAGATGGCGACGCGCGACGGGGGCATCTCCGAAGCCGAGACGGCGCCTGCCACAGAAGAGCCTCTTCGAGAGGCAGGCTTGCCTGCCCGGGCAATTCAGGCGGGCGCGCGGAGACACGCTCAGGACTCCCATGAGTAAGGAGTCGCGAGGGGGGGGGGCGCTTATGACGCCAATGGATGACGCTGCGCGTGGTGACGCGCTAAGGCATCGCATAGAGTTCGCCACCGATATCACGGCCGACGACTTGGTCGACGTTGGCTGGGGCTTTGTCAGCACTGGCACTTCAGTTCCCTTTCGAGCCCCGCGCGCCCGCTCGCGCGCCCCTGCGGGGGCGCCGAGCAACTAGGGCGGCCCGCCAGCATGGCGGCCGCCGCCGCTGCCCCGAGAAGACCTAGACTGCTGGGTCGGGCAAGGCTTGGCCTCCGAGGAGGCGCGACGCTAGCATTCCAAGCAGACCCGCCCATGCGCAGAGACACAGAGACACGGGGGCGTTTCACACTCCGCGGACACTATAACACACGCGAATGCGCGCTGCATTCCACACCAGGGGCACCGGGGCACCGGCCCAATTACCCCATGGGCCGGACCAGCCAGTCCCCAACAGGGATTCATACCATCGGAACCACGCCGCGGTGGCGGCGTCGCGCCCGACGTGGAAGTGACGTCCGAAGATCAGCGCATGCCCTACAGCAGCCCCGAGCACGATCGTCTCCTCGCCGAGTGGTCCTGACCTCTCCTCGAACAGGGAGCTCAAGAGGTACAACCGCCGGGGGCGCGGGGATGATGGTCGCAGAGACGCTGAGGGAGGGGTCGCGGAGACGCGGACGGAGGCGCACACCGAGACGCGCTTGGTGATCCCACTGCGTCATCCGCTGCTGCCACATCTGAAAAATGCCTGATACGAGGAGGATGTTGTACGATGATGCCCGCGGAAGGCGCGCGCTGGTTCTGCAGCTGCGCCCTCTGCTGCCGCGTCCTCTGGGCCACGAGATGAGCCGCCAGGCTCGGCCAAGGGGATGTCTGGCCGGGGAAGGACAGGCGGCGGCAAACCCGATGGCTCGGACAAACGCAGCAAGGGCGCGAGAAAGCTCAGCTCGACGCCAACTCCGACCCCGCATGCCTCCGAGGACCCCGAATCTGAGTCCAAGACCGACGACGCCGAAACGGACGCCGCAGCACCGCCGGGGCCCAGATGCAGGGGGGACACCCGCTCGGAGGCCCCCATGCCCACCTCGAAGCACAATGGCAAGCCAACCGCTTCAGGTGCGGCGCGGACGCGGCCCGACCTTCAGCCGCTCCCTGAGGCTCAAGGCCGTTCCTCAGGAGATCAAGCGGGAACGCTCAAAGGGCCCACTCGCGGCCGCTGCGGCCTCCAAATTTGGAGTTTCGGCAGCCCCACTACCGCGACAGCCCGCAGCAGCCCAGTCCGCGGAATCCCAGGGCCATCAAGCATTCCGCGGGCAGCGGCGGCCTTCTGAGGGCGTCCGCGGATGATCCAGATTTCAATGCAAAGTGTATTTTGTATTGTCTTGTTGCCAGGGATGGTGGGGCGGGGGTGGCGTGTGCGAAGCAAGCAATATGCTGGCACCCCCGCCGTCCTTGTCAAAAATTACCCCGGCGACGTACCCAACCCCTGCGCAATGCGGGGCATGAGTAGCTTGGGAGACGTTATACGGAGGTGATGACGTGACATGGACGCATATACTTCTGCAAGCGGCATTCGTGAGGCTCGCAGCCCCCCAGGGATTGCGATGTCCCGCTCAGATCTGCCTGGTGCCTCGCTCCGCTGGACCCACCAGCAGCCCTCGAAAGTTGCGACCATTTCGCAGATCGCAGCCCCCCAGGGACGGCGAGGGCCCGCTCAGATCCGCGCGGTGCCTCACTCCGCAGGACCCACCAGCCCAGCAGCCCTCGAAAGTGGCGACAGTTTCGCAGATCGCAGCCCCACAGGGACGGCGAGGTCCCGCTCGGGCCCGCGCGGTGCCTCATTCCGCAGGAACCACCAGCAGGAATCGAAAATGGCGACATTTCGCATGTCGCAGCCCCCCCCAAGGACGGCGAGGTCCCGCACAGGTCCGCGCGGTGCCTCACTCCGCAGGACCCACCAGCAGCCTTCGAAAGTGGCGACAGTTTCGCAGATCGCAGCGGGTTTTCACAGTTGCGCCTTCTTCGGCCGGCCTCGAAGGCTCGCAAGACGGGCCCGGAGGACCCCATCCTAAGAGTGATCCAGGATGGCCACAGAAACCATCTTAGGGCTAGGGCATATCAAAAAGTGCATGTCCCGAGCTACGCCCCCGGGCCCTCCGGAAAAGTCGCGCTGAACACCTCGTGAACGCCGAGGAGCGCCAAGAAATCTGGCAGGCGGGGTTCTGGGCCTTGTAAAAGGATTGCAGTACATATTCCATACGGACGGATCGAAACCATTTCAGAACATTCCAATTTGTGCTTACGACATGGTGGCGGATGAGTCGAGACGAGGTTTTTGACAGATGGGGGCTTACAGGTTTTTTCCTCTTTGTGTTCCTCCCCCTCCAGTCTCCTGTTCCTTATCGTCGTCGTCCTCCTCTCATGCCTCTGCTTGTTATTCCTCCTCCCTCCTGCCGCCTCTTCTTCCTCCTCATCATCTTCCTCCTCCTCCTCCGCCTCCTCCTCTCCATCGATATCATCCTCCTCCCTCTGCCATCTTCCTGCTCCCCCCTCCGAGCTCCTACTTCCCAGTCCTCCTACCTCCTCCTGCTCCTCTCCATCGTCGTCGTCCTTCTCGCCCCCTGCCGCCTCCTCCTCCAGACCCGCCATGCCCCTCCACCTCGCGCTCCTCCTCGCGCTCCTCGTCCTCCGCCTCGCGCCCCCCCTCTTCCTCCGTCCTCTTGTTTCGCCGCCTGTGCCACCCCGCCGGGCGCCGCGACTCTGCCGGCCAGGCCCACAGACCCTCGCCGCCCCGCCGGGCCCTCTCCGCGCTCCGGAGGGACAGGACAAAAGAGCCGCCGAGCGTCCATCGGGGCGGCCTCTCGACGGCGCGTCAAGGCGCCAAGGGGGGCGGGGGACTGGCGCGAGGGAGGGTGGGGGGTGGCGAGGACGACAGCGACGCGGGATCGCCACGCGGTTCTGGGCCCGGAGTCGTTCTCCGAGGACGTCTCGGGCGGTTGGGGCCTCCGAGGTCCTAAGGCCGTGCGGTGACGGACCGCGCGGTGAGGTCGTTGGGGATTCCGAGATCACCGCGCGGGCCGTCGGGGGGGTGCGGAGGGTGCTGCCGAGCGGCCATCGGGGCGACCTCTCAACGGCGCACCAAGTTGCCAGGGGGGGGGTCGAGTCCCAGCGGAGGTTGGTCGGGAGTAGTGGGGGGGTGGTCGACGGTCGGCGCGCGTCGCGCACCGCCAGGCGCGGTGCGCGAGGAGTTCGGTCACCTAGAAAGCCGCCCCCCCAAAAAAATACCAGCCCAGCCCGCCCGCCAAAAGACCTCCGCGATCGCGACAGCGCCCAGCGTCGCCCGCCTCGGGTCCCTCGCCGCCAGCCCGCGTCCTCCCCTCAGGGGCGACGTCAGGGCGGGATAGTGTACTTCGGCTCAGGGGGGGTGGATGCGTCAACCCCCCCTGGTCACGGGGGGTGGTGGACGCAACCTTAATTATCTGGATGATGCTGGACCTGCCCATGGCGCTGCCTTGGTGATTTGGATGATGTTTGCACCCCGTGGCCGTCATATGTTCCATGTCTGGCGTTTGGCTCACAACAGCTCCTACTCGACATAGCCGCCCGGCCAGCCAACATCATGTGGAGTAGCTTCGTGAGACGTTTTTTCTTCATACGCCTCTTCTGCGGGTCCGTGGGGGCCGACCCGTCGCCCATGGATCTCTGGCACAGGCCCGGCAGCCCCACTCCGCCCAGGACCGTGCGGATTCGCTACGGGGGGGCTATCCCCGATCTATCGTCGGTGCATCGGCGATTCCAGCTCGATGGCTCCTCCCCTGAGCCGGTCCTCCCGTGCGTTCCCCCTCGCCTTCAGTCGGGCGTGTCCATTCTGCAGGAGGACTATTCAAAAATTGTTTGTTTAAAAGATATATATATATAATACGGGGACGATCTTCGACCGTTTCTTGACGATTTGTGAATATCCTTGACTATTTTCATTTTTCGCCCGAAATCCGCGTGTAGGGGGACACGCCCGACCTAACCCTCGCCAGATCTCCGAAGGATCAGGGGTTGATGATCGACGATTCTGACTCTCTCCAGGTTCTGGAGGCCTCCGTGAAGGTTTCCAGAGAACTGCGGAGCGGACGAGGAGGAGGAGGAGGACGACGAGGACCAGTGCAAACCCAAGTCTCGTCAACGATGTTGGATAAACTCTCCCTTTAAGCTCCCTCTTCATAGGCCCCTACAAGGATTCATTTCCTCTGAAGAAAGTGCCCCGTTGGGAGACAGCCGTTTGAAGATCCTGAAGCGTGCCAAAACACCATTCTCGGGAATTCAACGCCACGAATTAACTTTACCTTTGCATCTTGACGGTCTTGAATCGCGCCAGAACACCATTCCTGGGATTTCAACACCGCGAATCAACGTAATTGTCGCTCCCTGACAATCCTGAATCGTTCCAAAACGTCGCTTCTGGTACGCTAACTATGAGAGCCCGTGGAGCTCTTGCAAATGTTAAAGACGAGTGCGCACGGCGCAAAGGCGAGAGCCACAGTTGAGAACGACCCGCCATCAATCCGTGGAACTTTTGCACATGTTTAAGACGACTGTGCGCGGCGCTAGGGCGACAGCCACATCCTGAAAACGACCCGCCCTCAATCTGTGAAATTTTTGCAATTCTTAAGACGAGTGTGCGCGGCACTCAGGCGAAACCCACATTGTGAAAACGACCCGCCCTCAATCCGCTAAAATCTGTCCATTCTTTAAGACGGGTGCGCGCGGCGCAAAGGCGAGAGCCACAGTTGAAAAGGAGCCGCTCTCAATCCGTGGAACTTTTGCAACTGTTTAAGACGACTCTGCGCGGCGCTAGGGCGAGAGCCACATTTTGAAAACCACCCGCCCTCAATCCGTGAACTGTCGTACAAATGTTACGGCGAATGTGCGCGGCGCTAAGGCGAGAACCACATTTTGGAAGCGACCCGCCCTCCATCGGTGAATTTGCTGCCGTTTCC